TCCCCCTGGGCGTGGTTTATCAATGTATGGTTTTTGGTTTAGAAAGAACACTTAATGAGAAAAGTGTGAATTGTTAAAGATTCAAAGTAAATGCAAAGAGAAATGGAAAAATCCTTCAGGTCGGCAATGTTTTTAATTGAGTTATTTAAGCCTTTCTGATTTACATTCCCATCAATTCCCACGTTAATGAATAACCCTAATAGAAAAAAATTGATTTGGTTGCACTGATATTGCATGCTTTCTGCCCATTTTATGGAACTTTTTAGTTATTACATTTTTTTTCTCAGATAATGAGCTTTCATTTCTGTTAACATCCTCAACTCCAAATATCCTGAAAGCCTAAGCACACCCGTGCTGATTTATGAGGTTGAAAAGTTGCTTAGTGCATATGTTATGGTCAAGGTATCGCTGCACAGTAAGGAGAGTAAATCAGGCCCTGAACATATACAAAATTCTGGCCAATTTGAATAACCATTCAGTTGTATAAACACAACAAAATGGCTGAAATAGCAAAATTTGTGTTTTGTAAAAATATGAATGGGCCTCACAAGGAAACTTTCTGTTTGGACAATAAATGCCATTTGGCTGTTGTTCATCATGTACAGGATTATTTACTAAAGTGAGAATTTAAAATTAATTCAAAGTGAATTTGAAATGTAAGTCCAATGTAGCCAGACTGAACACATAGCTAACTTAGAGAGTTTTTTCCACTTTGAATTCTGACTTTAATACATAACCCTGTAAACAATGAGAAGCAGCCAAATGGAATCTGCTGTCCAAATAGAAAGTTTCCATGTGAAGCCTATTAATTTTCTTACAAAACGCAAATGTGGCTATTATTTCAGACATATTTGTAATGCTAACTGGTTGTTAAAATTGGACTGGAATTTGCATATGTTCAGGGCAGGTTTAGCCTCCTTGCTGCCCAAAGGCCGGCTTCCTCAATGCACTCCCTGACATATATATATATATATATATATATATATATATATATATATATATGTTACCGCTAAAGTGCGAAAGCCGTTAATGTGCACATTACCTAGCTAATGTGCACATTTACTGATTTGCTACGTTAAAGTGCAGAATCAAGATTTTTCCGCACTTTAACTAGGTAATGTGCACATTAACGGCTGCTGTCCCATTAAAGTGCAAAAGTTTGCTTGGGTTTTGCTTGGTTTTGCGGGTTTCGCTGTCTCATTAAAACTGTCGCCTTGGTGCCTCATAATTTGCCGTTCGCGGGTTTCGTCCGAGGCAGGGTTGCCAGCATCCGTCTCTCAAGGAAAAAACAGCATTACTGTTTCATTTTCAAAACCTTTTCTCAGTCACACAAAAAAAAATCCAGCATTACTGTTTCATTTTCAAAAAAGAGAATTGCTAAAGTGCACCTAAAAATCTCAAAGATACTTTATTGTAGATACCAAAAAACAACAAGAGACGAACAAACCCTTGCTGCGACTACCTGACTAAAAAAGTCAATTGTAGTAGTCTATGCAGGGAGGACACACATAGTGGAAAAAGGGAGTGAGGGATGACATATTACAAGTAAAGTGAAGAGGCTGAGTTGGAGAGGATGTTTAGAGAGCCCTTAGAGGATTAACTGCAAAACAGTAATATACATATTAGTAGATAACCGTGTAAAGCAGTATATCAAAAGTGCGTTTGATATACAAGAATGTATCCAAATGAATGCCAGTAAGTATATTTAGCGGTTAATGGGCAGTCAACTCAGACCTAATAAAAAGTTACCACATAGAAGACAGAAGGCTATAATAAGCAATCTAATGATATTCACAAATAGTAATATAAAGTTGTCAAATCTATGAGTAAAGCAATCTCAGTTAGAGAGAATCAGGCAGATGGGGAGATGCCTTGGTGGGCATCATAACAGAAGAGAGGAACTAGCTCAGCTGCCTAATAGTGGTGGAGTCACTATGAGGGTTAGGTAATACCATAGGTCAATACTAGGAAATCACCTCTCTATAATGCGCTGATAATTACAGGGTTCCCCCTGATGAGCCTTAGTATCCAACAGCCCTTTCACATTTATCCCTTTATAGGGCTTCTACACATACAATAAACTTTGCTGGTATCAGACAAAGTGTAAACATCTCATGAGACATGAAGGGGTGTTTTTTAAACCCCTACATACTTATTAACCCTAAATAGGGCTATAACACATAACACATACAGATTAGCTTGCCGGTATTAGCTAAAAGGCAAATTTCTCTGATGAGACAGGAAGGGGTGCTGCCACTACATACTTATAAACTCTTAATAAGACAAACATGGGTTGGCTGGCAGCAATGTAACATGGCTGTGTGATACAAACATCATATACAAACACAAAGATAAAGCACTGCGCTTCCAGCAGCAGTAGCTTAATATCCAACAGCTTAAAATACATAGTAAAAGCAAAGAGAAAGTTACCTGTGCTCTGGCCTAAATCCCTGTGTACATTTAAACAAAATGGAGGCTCTCTAACATGAGAAGTGGGTGTAAAAAGGCGCTCAACAATCTATAACTGTAGCGGCAGTAAATCATACAAGAATTTCCAAACGTTGTGACAATACACAACACACCAATAACAATAAATTGATAAACCACGCCAGGGGGAATAATTTAAAAACAACCATCAAGTGCAAAGTGCATATAAAATACATACACATACATAAAGCAAAAGAATATCCCTGTTGATTAGTGTATGTATGTTTGTATGCATTATTGCACTGTTTGTAAATTATTCCCCCTGGGCGTGGTTTATCAATGTATGGTTTTTGGTTTAGAAAGAACACTTAATGAGAAAAGTGTGAATTGTTAAAGATTCAAAGTAAATGCAAAGAGAAATGGAAAAATCCTTCAGGTCGGCAATGTTTTTAATTGAGTTATTTAAGCCTTTCTGATTTACATTCCCATCAATTCCCACGTTAATGAATAACCCTAATAGAAAAAAATTGATTTGGTTGCACTGATATTGCATGCTTTCTGCCCATTTTATGGAACTTTTTAGTTATTACATTTTTTTTCTCAGATAATGAGCTTTCATTTCTGTTAACATCCTCAACTCCAAATATCCTGAAAGCCTAAGCACACCCGTGCTGATTTATGAGGTTGAAAAGTTGCTTAGTGCATATGTTATGGTCAAGGTATCGCTGCACAGTAAGGAGAGTAAATCAGGCCCTGAACATATACAAAATTCTGGCCAATTTGAATAACCATTCAGTTGTATAAACACAACAAAATGGCTGAAATAGCAAAATTTGTGTTTTGTAAAAATATGAATGGGCCTCACAAGGAAACTTTCTGTTTGGACAATAAATGCCATTTGGCTGTTGTTCATCATGTACAGGATTATTTACTAAAGTGAGAATTTAAAATTAATTCAAAGTGAATTTGAAATGTAAGTCCAATGTAGCCAGACTGAACACATAGCTAACTTAGAGAGTTTTTTCCACTTTGAATTCTGACTTTAATACATAACCCTGTAAACACTAATTATAAGAATACAAACACAAATAGAGGTAGGGGGTGCAATTTAAGTGCAATAATAAAGTAAAATACAATACTTATTAACACTTGGTCGTCCTGTTTGAATTCCACCTAGGTGAAAAATCAATACATAGCATAATACTATTTATACTTAAAATATCAAAATCGATATAAATATGTCTCTCACACTTTGCAGAGTCACATATAGTAGGCTCTGACTTTTCAGGCTCTTTTAAATCCCTTTGTTATTGCGTCCACTCCTCCACTCCTCAGGATATCACCGCTGGTACCAGGAATCAGCAAGTAAAATAATTCAGAAATAGAGTGGGGATATAGTGTAAATGTTAATATAGTAAGAGATATAAAAACAGGGATATAAAGTGCATGGAGATTAAAAATAAATAGTAGATTGCAGCACTGACGTGTTTCGACCGGTATAGTCTTTCTCAAAGTGCATAATTCATTAGTTCAACTTCCTGGTTTATATGTCCGTCGGGTATTTGGTTTTGATGAGAAAGTAAAGATTTTTAATTTATCAGATAAAGTTTTGGATGAGAATCATATTAAAGTTTTAAGTAAGGGTTTTAAATTTGCCCCCAGCTGCCCTATTAATAAATTTGACACATATACAGATCTTAACAGATTCACAAGGAAATTGTGTCTAAAAAAGTTAGCAAGTTTGTTTATATGTCCATCGGGTTTTTGGTTTTGGCGCCTTTCTCCTCCTGTTACCGTCCTTTACTTCCTGTTTCTGCCAGATGGGTTCACGTATATCCGTCTATGTATGCGTTCCCTTGCGTCTGACGTCAGACGTCCTCCTCTCACTCCGATACCAGAAGTGACTCCGTTATGAAGATGTATGTCACCATATTTATAAGTCCCAGACTGGGCATATCGTATAAAAAACATCCTGGCATTCATGTTCTTTATACTTAAACTTTCCAAATATTACTTGTAAAACAAGTATATATACATACAAAATTCATTCAACAGATATATATCACAGCAAATAAACTTATTTCTAAATTACCACAACAAAAATAATAGAACAACAAAAATTATAATAATTAATCTTCTCTCAAGTATTATATTATACATAACTATATTTAAAAGATAAATAAAAGTTTAAAACAAGATAAAATTAAAAAAGTTTAATCCAGTGGGCATATTTATTGGAAAATAATCAAAACAACGTTTTTGCCCACAACAGAACCTTTGTCAAGCTAACCACAAGTGTATTGTTATCCTTTATAAAGGGTAATCAATTCAACAATTTACACAGTGTATCAGGGCCGCCATCAGGGGGTGACAACCGTGACAGTTGTCACGGGCCCGGCGGCCCTGGGGGGCCCGGACTGCTCTGGCAGTCCTGGGCCCCACTTTGTTTCTCTGCACACATAGATAGCGAATCTCGAGGGAGGGGGGAGATTCCATCTGTGGTGGCCCGGTGGCATGGGGCCCCCGGCTCTCTGTTACCGCAGATGGGGCCCAGGCAGCACACAGCTTCTCCTCCTGTCTTCTCTCTTCTCATAACTCTCGCGAGACCCGGTTACCATGGCAACGCTCCGCGGGTCTCGCGAGAGTTATGAGAAGAGGAGAAGACAGGAGGAGAAGCTGTGTGCTGCCTGGGCCCCCTCTGCGGACGGTAACAGGGAGCCGGGGGGCCCCATGCCACCGGGCCACCACAGATGGAATCTCCCCCCTCCCTGGATACAGGTAAGCAGGGAGGGGGGAGAAACATTTAATTAAATTAATTAAAAATTAATGTTAAAATGCCCCTTCCTCCCCCTCCCCCCCCAGATTGCACATTTACACAACACACACACTGCATACACTAACACAACACACACACACACTGCATACACTAACACAACACACACACTGCATACACTAACAGGACACATACTACATACACTAACACAAAACACACTGCATACACTCACAACACACACACTGCACACACATAACACAACACACACACTGCATACACTAACACAACACACACACACTGCATACACTAACACAACACACACACTGCATACACTAACCCAACACACACTCTGCATACACTAATACAACACACACGCTGCGTACACTAACACACACACTGCACACACTAATACAACATACACTCTGTATACACTACACACTAACACACTCACTGCATCCACTATACTAACACACACTCTGCATCCGCTACACACTAACACACTCTCTGCATCCGCTACACACTAACACACTCTGCATTCACTACACACTAACCCACTCCCTCTGCATTCACTACACTAACACACACTCTGCATTCACTGCACTCCACACACACTCTGCACCCGCTACACATTCACACACACTCTGCATCCGCTACACATTAACACACACTCTGCATCCGCCACACACTAACACACTCTCTGCATTCACTACACTAACACACACTCTGCATCCGCTACACACTAACACACACTCTACATTTACTAAACTAACACACACTCTGCATCCGCTACACACTAACACACTCTCTGCATTCACTACACATTAACACACTCTCTGCATTCACTACACTAACACATACTCTGCATCCGCTACACACTAACACACTCTCTGCATTCACTACACATTAACACACACTCTGCATTCACTACACTAACACACACTCTGCATCCGCTACACACTAACACACACTCTGCATCCGCTACACACTAACACACTCTCTGCATTCACTACACTAACACATACTTTGCATCCGCTACACACTAACACACTATCTGCATTCACTACACTAACTCACACACTCTGCATCCGCTACACACTAACACACTCTCTGCATTCACTACACTAACACACACTCTGCATCCGCTACACACTAACACACTCTCTGCATTCACTACACATTAACACACTCTCTGCATTCACTACACTAACACACACTCTGCATCCGCTACACACTAACTCTCTGCATTCACTACACTAACACACACTCTGCATTCACTACACATTAACACACACTCTGCATTCACTACAAATTTACACACACTCTGCATTCACTGCACTAACACACACACTACATTCATTACACTTACACACTCTGCATTCACTACACACTAACGCACACTCTGCATTCACTAAACTATGCATACACTCTGGATTCACTATACTGACACACACTCTGCATTCACTACACTAACATACACTCTGCATTAACTGTACACAAAGCATCCACTACACAAACATCCTGTATTCACAATACACACACTACATCCACCACACATTGAAACACTCTGCATTCACTATACACAGACACTGCGTCTAATACATGCACTACATCCACTACAGACACTGCACCCACTAAACACATTTCATCTAGTACATACAAACACTACATCCACTACATAAACACACACTACATCACTGTACACACAGTATATCCACTACTCAAACACACTCTGTGTTCACTATACACACTGCATCCGCTACACAAACACACACTCTGCATTCACTGTACAAACAGTATCTAATATACACAAACACTACATCCATTACACATATTCTAATTCACTTCCACTATACACACCACATTCAGTCCTGCATCATTGTCAGCGGACCAGGTAGGGCGTGGGCGGGCCCGGGAGTGAGGGGGGGCCCAGACCTTGTGCTTTGTCAGGGGCCCCAAAATTTCTGATGGCGGCCCTGCAGTGTATATCAAGACATAGGTAATCAATCACATAACATATACATATACTTGTGGTTAGCTTGACAAAGGCCTGGTTGTGGGCCAAAGCATGGTCTCAATTTTATTCCAATAAATCCGCCAACTAGATTGAACTTGAGTGCCTGGACCATCATTACTTTTTTGCAATAGACATTGTGAGGATTAGCCAACCTCCGGCCCGGTTGCACCCTGGGATCCAGGAGAGTGCGGTATCCATATTGGTAAATATAGAATATTATGGGAGCATGACGACTAATTGAATCCCTTTCTAGTCTGGTCACAGCTCACTGAAGAAGTAAAGGTAATGCAGGAAACACAAATAGGACCATCTTTTGGTTATATTTATTTATTTTCATAACGTTTAATATATACATATATTTAAAGGAACACTATAGTGTTCTAAATTTCTAGCACTATAGTGTCCATGTGCCTTCCCTCCCTCATCTCTCCCAAACAGCAGCAATGAAAGGATTAAAAAACATTTTCTCACTTACCTTATTTCAGTGCTGAGGTCCCTAGGTGCTATCTCGGTCTCTGCAGGGGGAACCTAATGTTCATACACGGTGAGCACTGCATGCGCATTATGTCTTCCCCACAGGAAAGCATTTCATCACTGCAAGCACTAATACTATGTTAATGAATTTGATAGGTTTTGGCCACATTAATATTGTCCCTCACTCAGTGCTGTTGGAGCTGATACTGTGAACATGTATTTAATAAGAAAGTCTTTCTGGCAGGAGTCTCATGGCTAAGGAGACAGGCTTATGGTGCAACATTCTGCAAAATATTTTGTTATTTGTGTAAAAAAATACAGCATATTAATGAGGCCAAAATCTATTATATCTATTAAAGTTGTGTTGGTGGCAAGAGTGTCCCTTTAACATATAAGTGTGTTGTTGATTCAAGGTTGTTGATCCAAGAAGAAATCAGTTTGCTATTGTGGAACATAGACAGATTGTTTTCCCCTTTTTACATAGTTACATAGCTGAAAAGAGACTTGCGTCCATCAGGTTCAGCCTTCCTCACATTTGTTTTTTGCTGTTGATCCAAAAGAAGGTAAAAAAACAAGCTTGAAGCACAATTTTGCAACAAGCTAGGAATAAAATTCCTTCTTGACCCCAGAATGGCAGTCAGATTTATCCTTGGATTAAGCAGTTATTACCCTACATTGAAAGATTATATCATTGAATATTCTGTTTTTGCAAGTATGCATCTAGTAGCTGTTTGAACATCTGTATGGACTCTGATAAAACCACTTCTTCAGGCAGAGAATTCCACATCCTTATTGTTCTTACAGTAAAAAAAACCTTTCCTTTGCCTTAGACAAAATCTTTTTTCTTCCAGTCTAAACGCATGACCTCGTGTCCTATGTAAAGTCCGGTTTGTGAATAGATTTCCACACAATGGTTTGTATTGGACCCGAATTTGTATAATGTTATCATATCCCCTCTTAAACAAAGTATTTCTAAACTAAATCAGTTTAAATTTGTTAACCTTTCTTCATAGCTGATATGTTCCATTCCTTTTATTAATTTTGCAGCCCGCCTCTGCACTTTTTCTAGTGCTATAATATCCTTCATTAGCACAGGTTCCCAAAATTGCACAGCATATTCAATATGTGGTCTTACCAGTGATTTATAAAGAGGCAAAATTATATTCTCATCCCGAGAATGAATGCCCTTTTTCATGCATGATACCTTACTGGCCTTGGCCACTGCTGATTGACATTGCATATTGTTGCATAGTTTGTTGTCTATAACAATTCCCAAGTCCTTTCGTGCGTTGTTATCCCTAATTCGCTTCCATTAAGGGTATACGTTGCTTGTGTATTCTTTATGCCGAAGTGCATAACTTTGCATTTTTCAACATTAAATTTCATCTGCCATTTGAGTGCCCAGTCCCCAGTCTATCTAAATCCCTCTGCAGCAAAGTAATATCTTACTCACATTGTATTATTTTACAGAGTTTTGTGTCATCTGCAAACACTGAAACATGACTTTTGTGGCATGATTGACCATCACTTCAAATTGGAGAAGGTTTCCTTATTTTGGATCAACATTATAAAATATGTATTTTAAAGGTTGAACTTAATGGACCTTGAGTATATTTTCGACCTAGATTGCCAAATAAATATGTAACCATATAACATTATCATTGTTCATTATGCTTTTAAAAGAATGCTTAGAGGGTTCTTTATACCATAACTTTGATGTCTCTGGAAAATGCACTATTGAATAAAATACTGAAAATCATCAAAGCATGTACAGCTTTTTTCATATGATTCTCTATTTTCTTTTAAAATGTATAATAAATATTTAGCAACTGATATCACAATTCAGCCCAAGCACAGCCAGGGCACACAATGTAAAGGACAAGGAGAACAGAAACATTGCTGATGCTCACCTTCAAGACTTCTTGAGGGCTGCATGGTTCCTGTGGAACTCACTTCCCTCCTCCCTTAGATGCTAACCCAGGCTCCACTACTTCAAAAATTCATTAAAAACCCACTTTTTCATAAAAGCATATCAATTAAACTGTTAATATCTCACGCCTAATTCCCCTCTTGCAACTGTCATTAGTCTAATACGATCCTTACCTTTTGTGTCACTTTTCTTCACTCCCACTACCACGTAAGCTCGTTGAGCACGGCCCTCATCCCCCCTGTTCCTGTGTGTCCAACTTGTCTGTTTACAACTACATGTTTGTCCGTCCACCCACTGTAAAGCGCTGCATAATTTGTTGGCGCTATTTAAATAATAACATAAGAAAACAATGTTTGCTTCATAAATAGACATGAACAAAATTAACCCCTTAAAATATTCCGTCATGATTCCCTTTTATTCCAGAAGTTGTGTCCTTAAGGGGTTAACAACCCAGGAAATGGCAATTCTTGTTCCACAAGATAAA